CAAACTAATTAATGAATTTGGCAAAACAGCAGGATACAAAGTCAATATCCAGAAATCAAAGGCATTTTTGTATACAAACAATGAATCAGCAGAAGCAGAAATCAAGGAAAAAATCCCATTCCATATAGCAAAAACAGAAATAAAATATCTGGGAATAAACCTAACCAAGGAGGCAAAAGACCTGTATGCAGAAAACTACACAGCACTGAAGAAAGAAATCAGGGAAGACACAAACAAATGGAAACATATACCGTGTTCATGGATGGGAAGAATTAACATCATCAAAATGTCCATACTACCCAAAGCAATATACAGATTCAATGCAATACCTATTAAAGTACCAATGGCGTATTTCACAGACATAGAACAAACACTTCAAAAATTTATATGGAATCATAAACGAGCCCGAATAGTAGCTGCTCTTTTGAGAAAGAAGAACAAAGTAGGAGGGATCACAATACCTGATATCAAACTGTATTACAAAGCAACTGTAATCAAAACAGCCTGGTACTGGCATAAAAACAGGCACATAGACCAATGGAACAGAACAGAGAGTCCAGAAATCAACCCAACCCTCTACAGTCAATTAATATTTGACAAAGGGGGCAGTAACATAAAATGGAGTAAAGATAGCCTCTTCAGCAAATGGTGTTGGGAGAACTGGACAGCTACGTGCAAAAAAATGAAACTTGAGCACCAACTTACACCATACACCAAAATAAATTCAAGGTGGATAAAACACTTAAATATAAGCCGTGGAACCATTAAAGTTCTAGAGGAGAACATTGGCAAGAAAATCTCAGATATCCCGCGCAGCAACATTTTTACGGATATGTCCCCTAGAGCAAAGAAGATAAAGGAAAGCATAAACAAATGGGATCTCATCAAAATAAAAAGCTTCTGCATGGCTAAAGAAAACAGTATTAAATTCAAAAGACAACCAAGTGTATGGGAAAACATATTTGCCAATGATACCTCAAACAAAGGTTTAATCTCCAAAATATACAAAAAACTTACACGACTCCACTCTAGGAAGACATCTAACCCAATTAAAAAATGGGAAAAGGAGTTGAACAGACACTTCTCTAAAGAGGACATACAGAATATCCAGAGACACATGAAGAGATGCTCAATATCATTAGCTATCAGAGAGACGCAAATTAAAACCACAATGAGATACCACTTTACACCAGTCAGGATGGCTATAATAGACAAAGCAACAAACAACAAATGTTGGAGAGGGTGTGGGGAAAAGGGGACCTTAGTTCACTGTTGGTGGGATTGCAGACTGGTACAACCATTATGGAAAACAGTATGGAATTTTCTCAGAAAAATAAAAATCGACCTGCCTTTTGACCCAGCAATTCCACTGCTGGGATTATACCCCAAGAATCCTAAAACATCAATTTCAAAGAACCTATGCACCACAATGTTCATAGCAGCACAATTTACAATAGCCAAGAGTTGGAAGCAACCTAGGTGCCCGTCAGTAAACGAATGGATCAAAAAATTGTGGTACATATACACAATGGAATTCTATGCAGCAGAGAGAAAGAAGGAGCTACTACCTTTTGCAACAACATGGATGGAACTGGAAAGCATTATGCTGAGTGAAATAGGCCAGGCATTGAAGGACAAATACCATATTATCTCACCCCTAACAGGAAGCTAAAGAATAAAACAAACAAGCAAACAGAATAAAAACAAAGACACTGAAATAGAGAACAAGTGGGCAGGGACCAGAGGGGAGAGGGAAGGGAACTTAAGGGGAAAAAGGGGGAGGGATTTTGAGGAACAAGTATGAAAGACACAGAGATGAGGACTGGGGGTGGGAATGGGACAGAGTGGGGAGACCGGGCGGGGGGGGGGGGATGGGAGAAATAGATTAAAAAAAATGTACTTGAAAAGTAACTAAATAAAATTTAATATTAAAAAAAAAACTATGGTACATTTACACAGTGAAATACTATGCCACAGAAAGAAAGAAGGAGCCCCTACCCTTTGCAACAGCATAGATGGATCTGGAGAGCACTATGCCCAGGAAAATAAGCCAGGCAATGAAAGATTAATACCTTATGATCTCACCTATAAGTGGAACCTAATCAACAAAACAAACATGCAAGCAAAATATAACCAGAGACATGGAAATAAAAAACAAACTGACAGTTACCAGAGGGGAGGTAGGATAGGATAACAGGAGCAAAAAGGGGGAAGGGTCATGAAGGAACATGTATAAAGAACACATGGAAAAAGCCAAAGGGGATGGGATTGAGGGTGAGAGGTGGGGATAGCTGGGGTGCAGGGGAGTATTGGGGGGGAATGGAAAGAAGTCTACTTGAACAACAATAAAAAAAGAAAACAGGACTTCCGCCAAGATGGAGGCATAGGTGGATGTGCCGTGCCTTCTCCCACAACCAAGATTAGAGAAAACTAAATATTAGCAATAGAAAACACAGCCAGAACACGGAAAATTGAACTTTTCGGAAGTCCATTAACAACAAATTCTTCAGCCTGACCGGTAAGGGGCGAAACCAGCGGCTGGTGAAGCGGGGTTGCACAGGAGGACTCGGCCAGACACACTCAGGCCCACGGAATCCAGGTGCAGGTTCAGACCCAGTGAGCAACCCAGCGAGCAACCAGGCGAGCGACCTCGGGGGAGACAGCCAGGCCCGGGGCTGCGTGTTGACTGAGGTCGCGCATTTGTGCGAGGGTGGACAGGCGAGGGAGTGGGCGGTTGGACCAGGCCGGCAGGTCCCCACGGCAAGCGGCAGTGGAGGGCGCCGCCATTTCCCTGCTCTGACCCCACCTCCACATACAGCCTCATAACCCAGCGACTCTGAGTGGCCCGGCCCAGGTGAACCACCTAAGGCACTGCTCCTCCGCACCCAGCTGTGAGAAGCGGCAGAGGGGGTCGCCATTTCCCCGCTCTGGCCACGCCCCCACATACAGCGTCACAACCCAGCGACCTGGGAACCCAAGCCGACGCTTCTCACACTTAAAGGGCCCGAACAGACCAAGAATGGCGCAGGAGGATCTCAGAGCCCCAGAAATAAATCTAAGCGATGAAGAAATAGCAAAACTCACAGACGCACAGTTTAAAAAATTGGTGATCAGGATCCTCACAGAACTGGTTGATTATACGGACAAATTAGACAAATATATGAAGGCGAAACTAATTGAAATGAATGGAATTGCACAGGACACCAATAGCAATGAAAAGGAAACTGGGACTCAAATCAATGGAGTGGACCAGAAGAAAGTAAATAATGGCCAAACAGAAAAGAGTCAAGAAGCAAGAACTCAAAGAAATGAGGAGAGTCTTAGGAACCTCCAGGACATCTTTAAACGCTCCAACATCTGAATTATAGGGGTACCAGAAGGGGGAAAGGCACAGCCACCAGTGGAAAACTTATTTGAACAAATAATAAAGGAGAATTTCCCCAATCTGGCAAAGGGAAATAGACTTCCAGGAAATCCAGGAAGCTCAGAGAGTACCAAAAAAGTTGGACCCAAGAAGGAACACATCAAGGCACATCGTAATTACATTAGCCAAGATTAAAATGAAGGAGAGAATCCTAGAAGCAGCAAGAGCTAAGGGGACAGTCACCTACAAAGGAGTCCCCATCAGACTGTCAGCAGATTTCTCAAAAGAGACCTTACAGGCAAGAAGGGGCTGGAAAGAGGTATTCCAAGTCATGAAATCTAAAGACCTACAACCAAGATTGCTCTATCCAGCAAAACTTTCATTTAAAATGGAAGGACAGATAAGGTGCTTCTCAGATAAGATCAAATTCAAGGAGTTCATCATCACCAAGCCCTTATTATATGAAATGTTAAAGGGACTTATCTAAGAAAAAGAAGTTAAAGAAACGTGAACAGTGAAAGGACAACAAACTCACAGTTATTAACGACCACACCTAAAATGAAAGAAAAACTAAAGGACAGCTAGATCAGGAGTGGAAACATAGAAATGAAGATCTCAAGGAGGGTTAGCAACAGGGGAGTGGGAGGAGGAGAAGGGGGGAGAAGGTACAGAAAATAAGTAGCATAGACAGTAGATAGAAAATAGATGAGGGGGCAAGAATAGCATGGGAAATACAGAATCTAAAGGACTTGAGACACATGGTCATAAACTAAAGGGGGGGTGATGGTGGGGATGGGGGGTAGGGTGGAGGGGAATAAAGGGGGAATAGAACAACTGTAACAGCATAATCAATAAAAAAATATTAAAAAAAAAGAAAAAAGAAAACAATGCTTTATGCTGCATGAAATAGCATAATTAATAATATGATATGATATGATATAATATAATTAATATAATATAATATAGTGCTAAGGAAATTCGATGGTAAATCCTGAACACTTTTTATACTAAATTATCTCAAAATTTATGTTCACATTCACTATTTTATTTAATACATAAAATGACAGTATTGCCAAGGCACTATTATTCATATCTTATTAAGAAAACTGCTAAGACTCAGATTTGTTAAAAGTCTTGACCAGGGCCACATTGGCTATTGAGTCTCCAAGCTTCAAAGGCCGCAAAAGCATGACTGACACTCGTCACTCCAAGCATGGGCCTCACAGAGAAGCCTCTGAGTCAGACAGTGTCAACCATGATGACAAGGACAATGGGACATGCGGAATGTGTGGTGATGTTTGCCAGTCTGAGGAGGTGACATATGGAAACATCACATGGTTACACAAGAAACAGAAAAAACATATTACAGTGGTTTTCTGTAACCTTGGCTACTGTCACTATAGTTTCAAGAAAAAAAATGTTATTCTAAACATTCAGAGCATTGCCCATATGTCGGCTTCCATCTGCCGATTTCCTCAGCCACAGCCAAGCACCACCAGGTGTCTCTGAGCCCAGGAAGCCCTGAACAGGGCATACCTCAGGGAGGCAGTTTGGTGGTGTTCTCCTTTTGAGTAGTTTTTTAGGAGAAAGAGTAATAAAATGCAGAAAGACCAATGTAAACAGTAGCACTACTCACCGGTCCTGAAGAGTGGGAATCTTGGAAGGACACTGCAAATACTGCTTAAATCGGAGCTCAAAGGCTTGTCCAATGGAGCCAATGACGTCCTGGGCCAGCCCATCACAACATTCCAGAATGTGACAAGCTGTGGGATCCAGAGACCCAGGCCCATTAGAGACAAACACTGGAGTTGCCGAGGCTTCTGCACAGAAGTCCTCCTGAGGGTGGAAACCCCCAGTGATAACAGGGGGACAAAGAGGTACATGTGTCCTTCATAATACATCCTGGAGGCCCTACCTGCAATTTAACCTCAGTATCCCATTGAATGTATTCCTTAATAGCCTATTGTCTTTAAAATTAAAAATGAATTCCATTGTGGCAGCTGCCCACCATCCCTCAAGAACACACTCCTGTGACCAGGCTGCAGCACAATCCATGAAAATCTTCATAAAAAAAAAGAGGGGCCAGTGGGGAAAGGCACAGAGAAGGCCCTGCTTCTGCTCCTCAAGATAGTGACTGTCCCTGGCAGCCCCCAAAGAAATCTGAGCCTCTCACCTGTCTCTATGATCAATGTGACATGGTCTTGTTACTAATGCGACAGAGGTATTCTCCCTGGAGAACAGAGCAGATGTGGGTGTCCCACTACACCTTTCTCTTTCCAACATTTAAGATGTAATTGTATTCAGGGAGGGTTACTTCAGGAGCACAGCAGATGCCAGCAGTGAAGAGGAGTCACCTCTACAAAGGTAGTTAGCTGTTCCCAGGCACTAGAGACACCAAACTGTCCTCTGGCTGCAGGAAAACCCAGCACACATGAGACAGAGAACTCCTTAAGATGGAAAACTGCCCAGGAAGGGACAGAGGCATCACTGCTTTTGAAGTTTGGTGACTTTCAGCAAAATGCTGGCTTCTCCATGCACAAAGCTCACAGGCACAGCAGCTGCCACCATGTCCTCAGCTTCTACACTGTACCCAAGGCTGGAGGGGGTGCACCCCTGAGGACACAAGGGAAGCACTGCTGGGGGAAAAGTGGGACTTACTGCAGTGTGGACCACCATGCAGTTCTTGGCTACACTAGGTATGTCCAAGGGATTGATCCCAAGATTTCTGAGCTATATTCTTGCCACTGACTATTCATATTAGTTTTTCAGTAGCAACACAGGTAGGCACAAAGCAAGCCCATATGAAACAGCTGTTAGACTTACTGGATTATTGGTTAACTGAAAGAAATGGACATGTCTTTCCAGCTGAAAGGGAAGGAGCCATCGAGGCTGGTGTGAGGAAGACACCTGGCTCCCCCATAGCCTGTATTTTTAGCCAAACATATCCACCTGCCAGCAGCTGTAGGAGTTGGCTGCCCAGTACTTTATTTTTTTTTAAAGATTTTATTTATTTATCTTTTAGAGGGGAAGGGAAGGAGAGAGGAAGAGAAACATCAATGTATGGTTGCCTTTCATGCATCCCCTGCTGGGAATTGGCCTACAGGGAACTGGTCTGCAACCCAGGCATGTGCCCTAACTGGGAATCGAACCGCGATTGTCTGGTTCGCAGGCCCGTGCTCAATCCACTGAGCTACACCAGCCAGGGCCTGCCCAGTACTTTAAAGAGCCAGAATAAAGACTGGGAAGGGGTCAAGAAATGCACTTTATTTTTCTTCTGAGGAGAAAAGCAGTGCCCTAACCTTTAACATAATCTGTGAAAAATCAGGTTTCAGCAAAGAGGGCCACACAACAAATCCATGGGGCCCTGCATCTTCCACACACCAGACAGCATCAGGCCTGGAGAGTGTCCTCTTCAAGTCAGTTCCACAGAGGTTCACAAGATGCAGAGCTCCAAGTGGGAAACCCTCACTGGGTGAGGGCTGAGTCCTGCCAGTCTCAGATGCCCAAGTTGGCAGAACCGCTCCAGGCTCTGCTACCTGGTTCATCCTCAATGAACTGAGAATATGGCATCTATATAGGCTGGGTGTGAGGCTCCTTCTGTAAAATGCCTTCTATTTGTTTCAAAAACTCACTCCATATCCAAAACTAACCCTGGACTGCCAATCTTGCTGGGCCTGTTATTTTCTATGACAGTATTGCATTTAGTCTTTAGCTGAAAGCCACCTTCTTCTAACCTGGACTGCATAACTTTGTATGTGCCAGAAATGAAGAGGCCCTAACCCAGGTGAACATCACTTGTTTCATCCCCAGAAGGAAAGGACAGAGCCAGTCATCATTCATGAGCAAGAAGGAGATTAGATGAGAAGCACGTACAGAATCAAGACTCAAAATGACATTGTAAAACCTAAACATGGCCCAAAATAAACACAGGAACAACTGGCGTTTTCACAGTAGTAGAAGGTGATATTGGAGAAGAAGACCCTGAGGCAGGTGCTGGCTTGATGTTCAAGGAAGAGCCAGCAGTCCGTGGAGCCAGGAGCAGGAGCAAAGGATAGGAGATGAGACAGATTAGAGCAGGATTGATCTCACTCAGGTCCTGTGGGCATGGTGATGACACCACCAGATGTTTTCCAGAGGAAGGAAAGACTGATATGTGACTTGTCAAGTGTGAGGGCTGTGAGACTTCTGAGTGCAGAGGTTCATGACTCTGGCTCTCAGCCAGATGCCTGGGTGAGACAAGAACATTCAGAGTCTCTGGCACAGGATATTTAAATCCCAGGGCCTGGCTTATAATGTACAAACACTGTTGACAATAGCCAAGTGTGGAGCTACCTAAATGTCTATTCATAGCAAAACTAGCTTCTTGCCCAATGTTAGTGGTTAGACATTAACCTCCCAGTTAAGGAAGGGTGGAAGGAAGGAAAGGAGGGAGAGAGGGGGGAGAGAGGGAGGGAGAGAGGGAGGGAGAGAGGGAAAGAAAGGAAAAGTGGGAAGGGAAGGGAAGGGAAGGGAAGGGAAGGGAAGGGAAGGGAAGGGAAGGGAAGGGAAGGGAAGGGAAGGGAAGGGAAGGGAAGGGAAGGGAAGGGAAGGGAAGGGAAGGGAAGGGAAGGGAAGGGAAGGGAAGGGAAGGGAAGGGAAGGGAAGGGAAGGGAAGGGAAGGGAAGGGAAGGGAGAAAGAAAGAAAATCATTTTTGCCCACTATGAAGATGAGGTGTTTTTTACAGAGGAAAGAAAGTCAGAGGAGGTGCTATGTTGTTTACCCTCACTGAATTCATACTATTTAAGGCCTTTTCTGGAGAGTCACCTGCTGGGGCCTACAACTATCCAACGCCAGAGAAATCCTAAGTTTTTCTATTGCAAAAACCCTGTGCTTTTAGCAAAGCCTGGAGTAGGCAAGTGTGACCACACTATGCATCATTCCCACATGCAGGATTCCTGCTCAAGCCTCTTCACCAAGTTTCCTATTACTGAGGAAATCTTGGAGGAAGAGCAGCAGAATGTGTTAGAAGCTATTCAGGCTGAACACACAGGCTTCTTCCCCATTAGGTCAGCACCAACTATGTATAGGATATGACTTCCCACAGCCAGATCAGGTTGTTCCACGGGGTGCCTGAAGAAGGATGTTACTACAATTATATAATGTTCATGCCTCTTGTGGCAGCTATATGTCTAATTAGAGCATGATTTTTTCTTAGCTGCTATTGTGACTCAAACAGTGTAATCTGAGTTGTTCTTTTACATATATAAAGTACAGGGAATGAGGGTCATTGGGTAGTAAATGAAAGTTCTAATGATGTGTAAAAAAAATGATGTGTTAGGATCCAGCAAAACCTGATTTGTTGAGAGTTTTATCTTTCATATATCAATAATTGCCTGTCAGGTCTATTGGCCCTGCCCTTTGACTATAATGTGCCAACCTCATGAAAATTCATTCATTTGTGTCTCTTATCTTCTCAAAATGTTGTTAGAAGCTTCCATACAACTTAATGACTTGAGTCAGAGATCTTTTGCCCTCCCACCAGATTAACTATATACATCATGGATTCCTATACCGAAAAAGATAAATATATATTCTCACTGTAAATACCTATAAACAGGCAAAAATGTACAGGCAGGAGTCATTATGGAAAAGACAAATGATAACAGTGAGAAAATTTCATTCACATCTGTAGGATTTTGACAAGACTTTTCAGGACCCAGATGTGTCTTGACACCTGCGCATCATGAGCAGCTGTGCCTGCATCCAAGGAAACAGCCCAGCACATCAACTGCATGAGGCATTAGATATTTAAGAGCCCAAAGAATAACATTTATTCCCAGATTTTCTCGCTAATTTGACTTCTGTATGGCAGATTCCATTCTTACTTAATTAAACTCACTTCCTGGGCCAGGGGAGAAAGAAGAACATAAGCAGCTGGGGGAAGCCCTTCCACCAGCTCCTTACTAGAAGAGGATAATTGTGGGGCGGACACACGAGATGATGCAAACCATGCTCTGAGAGAAGGTTCATGGCTGGAACTGTGACTCCCCTCCCTACATACACTGCCTGTGTGGGGAGAACAGAGCTATGGTGCATCAGGAAAGGCTGCAAATTCCCATTGGAGAGTGGGTCTGATTCCTCTCCCTTGAATCTGAGCAGACTGTCACTGCTTCAACAGTACACTATGGAAGAAGTGAAGCTGTCCTTGGCCTTCCAGAGTGCTAGAACCTGCCACTTGTTATTATGGAGCCCAGAAGTACCATGTGAGAGGTTTTAATGCCCTGATAGAGGGGGCCCTCGGATTCCTAGGAAAGGGAGAAGGATCCTCATGGCTTGGCCTTCCAGTCACCCTTACCAAGGTGTGAGGTGTGACAATGAAGTAAACTTGGGCCCTCTAGACCAGGGCAGCCAAAAGCCACCCAGTGACCCCCATTGGTGGCACATGGAACCAAAAATTGGCCAACTGAGCACTGCCTGGATTCCTGACACTTAATTGTATCAGAAACCACTAAGGTTTGAGTAGTTTGTTGCAGGGGATGGATAATTGGAAGGCAGGAGTGTACATCACCCAAAAAGTCTCAAAGGGTCCCTGTGCCAGTGGCATCCCCAGAGCACCAGCACCAGTGCCAACATCAGCATTTGTCTTACAGTAGCAGCACATGCCAAAGCATGCCAAAGCAGCACTGCACTGTGGCAATTACAGCGTATGTGCAGTGAATTCTGATTTCCATGAGTTTGAAAAGGCACTGTGGGTAAAGGTACTCCTGGTCATGGCTCAAAGCAAGACAGCAGCCTCTACACTTCCATGGCTCTAAGTCAGACTGCATTGGACTGAACTCCTCAGGCTTGGATACTTATTTCCCAGCTGTGGCTGTAAGCGGGGATCACCAGCAGAGCTTTTAAAAATTACATGTGCCTGGGCCATACTCTCCGAGGACTGAGCACTGAAATTTTTAAAAGCTCCCCTAACTGAAGTGTAGTTCAGCAGTCCTTAAACTTTTGGGCACTGGGGACCAGGTTCATGGAAGACAATTTTTCCATGAACCAAGGAGAGGAGGAGGGGAGGATAGTTTCAGGATGATTAAGCACATTATGTCCAAGCTCACTGCCTGCTGTGTGGCCAGGTTCCTATCAGGCCTGGACCAGTACTGTTCTTAAGCCCAAAGGCTGAGGACCCCTGGTATAGTTCATGTTGAGAACCACTGACCTAGAAGCCATTACAGATGTCCAAAATATCTAGGATTGCTTAAAGTTAATTTGGAACAAACAAAAATAGAGAAACAACTTCAACAACAACTGTTAACCTGGGCTGAAACTGGGAGAATTCTGTGCCTAGAGAGGCACAGTCTTCCACCTACCCCCTCTCCTAACTTGGTGGGATCTTGGGATGATTGAAGGAGTTGGCATCTCTTAATGGGTTAAATTCTGTCCCTAACAAAAAATATGTTTCAGCCTTACATCAGAATGTGACCATATTTGGAAATGGGATTGTAGAATAACTAGTAAAAGTGAAGTCAGGCTGATTTGGAGGGTCTAATCCAGCGTAACTGGTGTCTTAAACAATGTTTGAATGAAGACAGAGGTACACACAGAGCACAAAGCCACGCAAAGATTAAAGACTGCAATGATGTACCTATAAGCCCAGGATGCACATAATCAGAAGCTGGAAGAAGCAGGAAGGATTCTCCTTTATAGACTTTAGAGTAAATGTGGCCCTGCTGCCAACCTCAGATTGGCAAATCTGACCACAAATCTGACCTCAGATTTCTGGCCTCCAGAACAACGAGACAATGATTTCTGTTGTTTTAAGGTGCCTAGTTTGTGGTGTTTGTACAATAGCCCCAGCAAACTAATAATACAGTCTCTAACTGGAATAATGAGCTTGTGTTGATCCATCATAGCCTATCTTCTCACCCAAGATAAGTACTAATTATCTGCAGATATTACATAAAAGTTGTTTCATGTTCAAGAAGTGGTGGACTACAGCGTGTTGGCAAGGGGTGTTAGGGACAGTCCTCAACTCATCAAGACCACCATGACCCCTTCCCATCCACTCTAAAAACTTTGTGATTATCCCACCTCTGGTTTAGGAGTGATGATGTGACAATTATAGTACATTATCTCCATTAGAACACCTCATCAAAGAAGTCCCCCACCCCCCAGACACAGCAGTGACAGCTTGGAGGGGAGCTACAGCACACTTGGAGGAAAATAACACTAATATTCTTTGTAAGATCTTATCTTCATCTCCAAGAAAGAAAAGGCATCCCCACCAAAGCATGGCTTACAAACCATGGCTAGAAAAGGTTCCGATGGAAAATCACCTTCACACACTTACATGAGAATGCAAATTTTTACAGCCAATCTGCACAGTGATTTGCTAGTTCCATTGATGCATCAATAATCTAACACTGTTTCTCTACAAATGCCTCTTTAGGGGGCACATAATATTGTGGGGTAGAACATAAGGGGCCCCAGAGGGTCTGTGGACCTGAAGGCCAGATCTCAGTAAAGCCACATTATAGATCATGTAACCTGATCTCTCTAGGCTGTCAAAAATGTCCAATGTGGAGGTGAGGGGAGACAAAATATAATGCTAATATTTCATTTGTATTGAAATTTAAAAAGAAGAAAATATATATGTAAGTATATAAATTTTAAAAGTTCTTCAAACTATAAAAACTTAACAGTTTGTATCTGGGGTGAAAGGTGGGAAGAGTAGAAGAACCAGTAGGTAGTAGATGGGAGTGTTGTTTTCTATTGTTTGAAACCCCACTGGTGATATTAGTCAATGAGTTCTGAATTGCAGTTGTGTGGTATGCCAGTGACTGCTGGGTGTTCAAAGGCAGCATACCCTTAGGCCACCCACCTAGGCTTTTTAGCATCTAGTGAGTGGAATTTTGGTTTTGTAAGTTATTTTTAAAATGGGGTGGTGGTATGCAGGAAGAGTCTAGGAGTAAAGGGTCCATGAGGATGGAAACTATTCGAATACCTCAAACCCCCCACCCATTCTACGTGGCTTTGAGGGATATAAGGAGACAACACCTAAGCTTGAACACTGGCCTTCAGGGTTGTGCAGTGCAGGGTAAAGCTTCTCAGGGAGACTTAGTCAGCAGTAGGCACACAGGAGCTATATAGCCCATCAAGAGGCCAGATGATTTGTAGTTTTCTGTGTGTAACAGAGCTACTTTCAGAGTATGAGTGGGAGTTGCACTGAGCAAGGCAGGTGCACCAAGCAGTAGCTGGTATGCATTTGGCACTCACAGACCCAGCCAGGTGTGCTGTCACACTTAATTGCTGGCAAACCTTAGTGATGATGATCAATGAGACATGGCTCATTTTGGTGAAAGGGGCTAAGCTGAGAGAGACATCTGTATTAACATCCAATGTCAAGCCTGACTGTATTCGAGTAAAAGATTACAAGGGTCAAGCATTGCTTACCTCTGCGATTAACAGGGTCCTTAGCTACATATGCAACATAGTCTGTTGTGTCCTGTCCAAAAAAAAAAAAAAAAAAAAAAAACATGTTCACTAATCACAAGTGAGAGACAGATAGTGCACAAACTAGTTCAGGAATGAAATGCTGCCCAATAGCAAGCCCATGAGGCAACATTTCTCAAACTATACTGAGGGCAGAAATCACCAGGGATCTTGTGAAATGCAGATTCTGACTGGGATGGGGCAGGTGGAGGTGTGCTGGGGCTGGGCCCTGAGCTCTTCTCCCACAGCCAACTTGCACACAGCAGTGCTGCTGCTTCCCCAGTCCACACTTTGAGCAGCAAGAATGTGAAGGGCACCTGTTCTCTTCAAAACAAAAAAGAGCAGCAAGTTGGATCACTGAGGAGCTTTAAAAACACTGAGTCCCACCCCCCAGGTTATCTGATTTACTTGATATGGATGTGAGGTCTGGGAATCAGGGATGTTTGAAAGCTCCTTGATGATTCCCATGTGAACCAAGGCTGAGAACCATTTCTGTTAGCTCTGGAACTGACAGTGGTCCTCAAACCTGAGCTGGTGTCAGAATCCCCTGCAGGGCTTTAAATAAAAACTAAGTCCCACTTCCCATTCTATGGGTCTGAGGTGAGGCCACAAAACGTGAACTTTTGACAAGTTCCCAGGTGATGCTGCTGTCTGCAGGGCCGCTTTGAAAACCACTGGTCTAGAAAAAACTGAGCAGTGGATGTTCAAAGATGGGTTGCAAACACTCCATCTTGGGTTGATGACATGCAACGTTTCCTTTCTTCTTGGATACAAGTAGTAATTTTAACACTTTTAGGTGTTTCAGAAATATGGGCTCAATTTGAAAGTCTCATCCCTGCACATGAAACATGAGTCTTCTTGCCTCCTCCTCATCTAATCAGGGCATAGAGGACACCACAGCCTCAGAAGCAGGCCAAGGTAACCACATGGATTTGTCTCTAGACAGTTGAAGGAACTGAAAATTCTCTTGATGTGAGAAAGCAGAAATTAGTTCTCTGCAAAGTCAATGTTTTCAACATTCGAAAAAGTCCCAAGTGGGGTGCTGGGCAACTGGGAAAGGTCTATCCCATCATTGCAGATAGTTTCCAAATGTTATTGCTTCAAAGGGCTGCTAGGTTATTGATTAGCTTCCATGTTTTTAGCACCAGAAAGATTCTCTGTCAACAGTTCTTCATTGTTAGGTCCTATGGGCAGATGACACCTACTCTCTCTACAGAGCTCCCAGAATACCCTCCAATGAGAGAGGGGAGGAGGGTAAGAATGTGTGAGTAGGTGTACAATGGTCATGGAACACACACTGCTGGGCAAAGGGGGATGAAGGCACTTTCTGTACATCACTGCCTCTAGAGCTCCCAATGACACAGTCAGACTGAGCAGGAGAAGGAGAGCTACTCCAGCAATCTTCACATAACGGCCCGCTACTCCAGGGTTACTTCCCTGTGTGCAGACCAGCTAATCTGTTTGCTCTTCTCACTCAGCCACTGTCTATTAGTAGATTTAGAGAATAACCTGGGAAAGGAAGTAGAAGACATTCAAACCCATCCACCTTGGCTTCCAGTCATTTCCATCAATGAAAATTTGGGTAAGACTCTGAAGCTATTGGCAAAAATAAGAACTGTAGCTTGTAATCAGAGACCCTCATCCTGTATTCAGGAGATGTTAATGTCAAAAGTTTTCTTAGGTAGTGCTAGTGTTTCTCAAACTGAGGTCCATGGAACCTAGGGTTGGGCTGGTATATTCCCCAGCATTTGAAATGTCACCAGAATTTCCTTTTAATTTTATATTTTCATTTCCATGATAATCTTAAAAATTAATACAAGAATATTCAGGATCATCTGAATGACCACCATTTTATTGTGTTCTGCACACAGTTTCAGTGCCAAGATTTTTAGTTAGATTTCCAATATTATCGGTACCAGGTTTTTAAAAAGTTAGACAGAAGATAAGTGTCATCTACTCAGAAAAGACTACATGCCTTGACCCCACTTGAAGCAAATTAATGTCGCATTTATACACAATGATGTACAGCTAAGTGTTTGCTTGAATAGAAGAAATTAGTGGGAGAAATGAGTCATCTGGCACTCATGAGAGACGCTGACCTCAAAAGATTCTGAACACACCATGGTGGCCAGTGCTAGTGTCGTACTGAGAGTAGAGGTTTCATTTCAGCAAAATTATCCATCAGAATAAATTAATGTTACCTTCAACACTATTGGCTTTACTGTGTTTATTGATAAACTTCCAAGTTTGATTGGGATTAGTTCAATAAAAAGTATAATATAGGTGTCTATATTTTATTTTTGTGCATATTTGGGTAACAAAATTAATTTGAGTCAACATGTGGGATACAAAACAAAATTCTTTTTAAGTTTTTATTCCAATCCAAGAAACTCTGCTCAGAAGATGTGATATGTTCCTGTCCCTCTGATGGTCAATGGTCAAACCAGGACTTAGCTCTTCTGATGCCAATGTTACTTTCTTTTGTCACACTGGGGCAATGCATTGTTGTTCAAAAAATTGTTCTTGACATCACACGCTGAGAAAATGAAGTTCCAAAGATAGGGCTACTAGGTGCTCATTCTGTATTTACTCATCTCTGTTCTCACTCTTCAAGACTTACTGAGCCTGACCATTATTCTGGCATTCTTTTGGTGGTCTTTTAACACTGAAAATAAGAGTAGATTATAATTAATGTGTGCCCCTTTTTTTTTTTGGAGAGATTAACATTGTTTCCAAACCCATTTTATTTGACATTTCAAAATACTATTTTCTTACGTGGTAAACTGAGGTATGGAGCAATTAGTAGATATATACTTGGCAGAAGAACAATTAATAGAACCTAGAATTGTTGGTTTGATTTAAAACACCCACCAGCTATAATAATTACAAACCAAGTTATTATTGGAAGTCATGGACAATGTGATATGCACTTGGATTGCTTACAGTGGAAGTAGAAAGTAACCAGGCTTCTAACAGTGACATTTTCTATGTCAGAAAAATCAGAATGAATATAAAATGTTATGAATTTCTTTAAGGGTTTCTGAATGATTTTGCTTTTAAATGAGGAGGTGATAGGGAAAATTGAAAATAGTTCACTGACCTGTGTGCCGAATAATTTTAGAGAGCCAGATAATTTTAATGCAGAACAATGTATTTGGCTTCCCATTTGCTAGATCTCTGCATCTCCACTCATGATATTATCATGAAGATGAAGCTTGAGACAAGTTCCTGAAAGGAGCCATCAATGCAGGTGTGCAACGTTTCTGCCTTTTATTTTTCAAACCGGGTCACCCTCCAAATTTAGGAAACTATTGTCCCAAGCATCACATTGGGAAAACAAGTAGATAGCCACTGCAAGTTAATTAGAGGAGATACAGAAATAGGTAAAAGCATAAGTACAGAAATGTGTGTAGATGCAGTGTGGGCACAGAATAGGTGTACATGTATGTCTAGATATAATCCTCAAGAATGCACCTATGATGGGTTTGATTACAGAAGACTTCCACTTTCCAAATATACAACTCAATGAGGTCTTTCACTTTATGGTGAAACATAAGAAATTAAAGGATTAGAAAAATGAAAGAAAGGGGGAGGGGAAGAACAGGGAGGGAAGGGAATAAGGGAAGGGAAAAAGAAGAAACTATCATAAGCACTTTGAAAACAAAACCCTAAGTATGAAAAAGAGCCAAAGTCCATTAAGTGAGATGGTTAAATGGTGGTCTGATCATCCTTTGACTATTTAGCAGAAGTTTAAGGGCAAAGAACCATCTGCAGGTGGACAAATTTTTTCTTTTGACAGTGCCCTTGGCTCAAGTGTCTTAGGCCAGGAGACACCCAGGCCTCTCCCTGCAGCCAAGTTGTCTGGGCAGCAGCGACGCTGGGATATGCATGGGGTAATGCGTGTGGTCATGCCCCTCTGAGGACTATAGCAGCTGGGGAGGGGAGGGTGGGGTGCTGGTTCTCCTGTAGCTAAAACAATCTATGCTGTGATTGCACTGCCCTTTGGAAATGTACAGATCTAAGCCAGCAGTGAAAATTGCTCCCTCGATTTAGTTTTCTATGGGCCAACAGCAGTTCTACAGTCAGGTTACACACGTAGAAGGAGCCTGGGAGGAAAAGTGTATAAGATAAACATGGGCATGGGAAAACTTCCCCCCTGGGCTAGAAATAGACACAGTCCCTGTCTTGGGATAAGGAGTGATATGTTCACCAATTACTTAGGTGAACTTCGACCAGTAATTTTTTATTTGCAATCTAAGCATTGCCTACTGATAATTTGGCAACATAATATAAAAAAAAATTATAACAAAAATACCACTATAAGCCAACATTCTTTCATTATAAAAAATATTTAACAACAAAAAGACATCTTTCCAAGATATAGAACAGTTTTTTAAGTAAATTTAGTAAATTTATCTCCAAGAAAAAGTCCCTCTGTTGTCATAATTTTTGTATGTTTCCCTGGACTGGTGAGAACTTTACCCAAACCAATGAAAAATAACAGGATAACATTTGGGGGGGTCCTTTTGTCCCCTTCAATGCTGGGAAGAGCTGCATATGTTTTCTCCCTGGTGTCTTCTGCTCCTCCATCCTTGTGACTGATTTCCTGCCTGGGTTTTTTCAAAGGACAGGACTGCCCACTGTGAACAGCAGTGAGTGTGCTCTCCTGACACTGAACACGAACACTGACATCACAGCATCACATTCCTGACCAAATGTGGGGAGCCAATTCCCTTCTTATTGCACCTTCCTCATAAAATAAGTGATGCAAGAACAGAACATTCTCATTCTGTTCCATCTCTTTCTGTCTCTGCACCTCCTTCCCTGTTGGCTAAACAAACCATTAAAAGACTACAGTGTTAAGTTTCAGAAAAGAATTCCAATTTCAAATATTTATGAATAAAACAGACTAAGTAAATTCACAGCATTAAAGTAGATGTAAAATATAAAAACAGAAGACCCCATTGGAGATCCAAAAGAAAAACAGGAACAAAGTAGGGCATACAGAATCAGGAGACACTAGAAAACTCTGGGAAGCTCTTTCATTACCTTTTAAGAAAGCCAGTGCTTTGAGGATTGTTGACAGCTCTTGGCTAATGAAATAATTTTAAAAGCTTATGAAATCAAGAGAGGGAAATAGTTGGCATTACAGTAAGCTTTCTTGATCATAACCTAAGAGACACACCTTAGAAGCAGGGCCCCTTCTCATCAAATCCCAACAAGATCAAGAGAAAACAATGCCAACGGCACTTACCGGGTCCCCCCCAGAGGCGAAGGAGATGGACTGCATGTGGTGATTCGCTATAATCTGCCAGGCCCAAAACAAGAACGACATGTGCCATTATTACCTTCCCATGTTTTGGAAAACCTCCTGTTTTTTCACAGGCAATATGAATCAACAAAGTTTCTCAAAAATTAGTAAGTTTGTTACCCAATAAAAATAACAATAAAAGTAATAACAACAGATAACCTTTACTGAATTTCGCAGCATGTCAGCTGCTCATCTAGCTGCTTTGCCAGAATGAGCTCATTTAAGCTCCACAATAGCCCCTTGATGTAGGAGCTGCTGTAATCCCATTTCACAGACACAGAGCCTGAGGCCCAGGGGGACAAAATGGCTTGCTCAAAGTACTACAGCTAAAATGGGCAGAGCTATGACCCAATACAGAGGGTCTTAACAATCATGCCTCTTTGAGAAGAAAAATGTCTCACCCACCCACCAAAACATTTTATCTGTGTAGTGTCTCTTTCCAAAGACATATGGGAACACCCCGTAGCTGGAGTGGATGGAAGTGTAGCCATCCCCCACTTCAGCATATTTGTGTCATGTGCTCATAAATTGGAAAGCCTACATCCAAGATCAAAATCAGTGCCATCAGTCACTCTTATAATGTATCTATTTAAAAACTAATGAGAACACTCCAAGTTCATTTTTAACTGGGAAATTTCCATTAGCATTATAAACTGCAAGACATAGAGGAATTTAGCAGATGCTGGAAATTAGAAACTGACCTAAATTTAAAAAGCTACGTAAGACTTTCAAGCACTTTTATCTTTTTAAAGACAATGTAATGACACTGAAGTAAATTTCTGGGGGTGGGGACAGTACTCCTGTCTCCCTCCCAACATAACCAGGTTTATTTTTGCTCAACCCCCTCAGGCCCTCACTGGTGGGCAGTCAGAATTTACAGAGCTGTAATCCTACCATCCACGGGATTTTTCTATCCATGCTACTGTAAAGCCCAAAGCAAAACTATAATGAATTGTAAGATAAAATAAGATATTTTAAATGTCTACTTCAGTTTGGGGAGCATGCAAACCTATTCAGGATCCAGAAAAACCTGAGCATATAGTAGTCATGTTTGGGGGAGTGTCAAAAATTATACACAGATTCTTGACCATGCAGGGACAGCACCTCCAGCCCTGGCGTTGTTCAAAGGTCAACTGTAAATGACTGAAAACAATGAGTACAGCTCTGCAGCCTGTGCCCAAGCCCAGATGGATCAAACAATTGCCCTTTGCAGCTCTCAGGAGTCCTGCTGCTAGGTCAGGGGTGGAGGGCTCCTGGGGGAGCAATGAGGACATAGCAATCTCCAAAAGAGGAAAAACTATGACTTCTAAAATTAAGTTTTCCTTATTTACTTTTTTGCTTATTTAACTATTGGTTACAGAGAAGCTCTAAACTAAGACTTTGGAAATCGAGGTAGATACTAAGATTTAGGAGGAAAATGGAAAACAAATTGGCTCAACATGATGCATAACCATCACTGTGTGTGTATGTGATCCCTCTGGCTAAGAGAGTTGAAAAGGAGAGCTGATTAACTGAAAACACACATCTTTGCCCTGAGGATGTTTCCTCTCTTTCTTCTTGAGACCTCTGTAGAGGGGATCAGGCACAGCCTTTCTGCTGTCTGCACTGGGAGAGGAATGTCCACTTGGCTTGTTCTTAGCATGCCACAGCCAGGCCCTCAGTTCAGCCAGACAGGAGAGTCTGAGGGCTATGAGCTTTGGCTCCCTTCCTCAGACTGTGCTCATGATGTATGAGATGGCACCCCCAGGGCTCACTCCCATCACCTATTCCAAGAGCAGGACAATGACAACTGGACACACCCAGCCAGCTTCATCCCAGGACAGAGAGGGCCAACCAGGTGGCACAATTCTTTCTGCTCTTTTTGAGTTTGCTTCTCTTTATTTTGAGGTGGGGAATTAGGTAAAAGGGAAATTAGGAGATAAGGTGCCACAGAATTGAGGACCAGAGTTTTAGGATTCCTAGAAACAAAAGGTGCAATAGCCACATAGAATAAGAATGGGTGTGTGCATATGAGTGCAAAGCTGAGGGGACCAATCTCTGCTAGCCATAACAGGTGCTCATCTTGGGGCAGCTCCAGAGAGAGGCTGAGCCTGTTAAAGCTACTTAATCCACCACTTAAATTACAGGTTAACCCATCCCTTAGAAGTGCCAATGAGACAAGACAAAAGATCATCCAATACTTGAGTGGGGAAAAAGGAATGGAGTAGTACCCAGTATGGTGACACATTGTCAGTCAGGAAGTGTTTATCCATATGTCTCTGGATTTCCCACTTTTTACAGTATGGATACATCTGATTTCTAGCTCACACTGCCAGCAATGAAGGTCCAGGTTGAGCAGAGCAGGTGAAGACACTTATGGTTTGAGTATTTTCACCTGTTGGTCTCCGAGGCAGCTATACACATATACACTTGAACCATGGTATTAAACAATTGTCTGTAGTTGTTTTTTGATAAATGTCCCTGGAGAATGAGGCATTTTTCCCTTGGTAAGCTGTGAATCAGGTCAAAAGGGATAGCCTCGAGAATAAGGTCTTCCAAAGAATGACCAAATAGGTCATATAATGATATCATATAACCATTATTCTAGCTGAGGGAACTAATAGCCAGAGAAACCTAAGATAGATACTTCAAAGAAACCCAACAAACAGAATTAGCCTTAATAAACATCCCTGCTGTGCTGCCTATGTCAGCAACAAACTCCTTCCATGCTAGGAAGCCATGGACCTGCCATACCATATGAACCCTATGAAGCTATAAAATCTGAGAGGCTCAAAAATAGTGACCCACTAAGAAAAAAAATACTGTCAATCACCACAACATGCCATTCATTTCAAAGATAATAAAATGTGCTGTAGAACCAATGGAATATGGTATAAGAGAAAACAAAACAGGAGCAAGGACATTAAGAGGAGACTTTGACATTGTAAGTTAATCAATGATTTCATACATTATCCTAAAAATCGTAATTTATAAAAGAATTAAAGAGAGTCAACTCCATCTATCATCCTGTTGGTGACCCTCCGAAGTAGCCAGTCAAATTTTGCAGGCTCATAAAGGTGTTACACAAGTGTGTTCCACATGGCCCTAGGAAAGATGGAAGAGGGAAGCCTGTGAAAACCCCACTGTGGGGACCCAGAGTGGCGTAGGGTGCCTGAGAGCCTACAGACCTGTTTTGAGTCTGGCGTCCTCAGGTTCAGGCTGGCCGTGGATATAGTCAGGGAGATGTTCATCCCCGAAAACTGGAGGTTGCTCTTGCCGAAGATGCTGGATAACATTTTGCTTGGAGGCTGTGAAATCAAGCAGCATTATTTTCACTTTTGGAGGCCACACTGTTGGGGCCTCTACATTGTTCCTATCTGCTACGCCCCCAAGCCTCCTCCTTCCCACCCTCATTAGGCACATGAAAATTGTGCTCCAAATAATCTGGGAGTGGGGAATCTGACACTAACATAAACATTCTAGAATGTGCAATATGGGAATTGTAAAGCATCCACTATGCACACACTGAGATTAGAAAAAAGCAGAGCTGCCAGTGTCCCAGCTAGCTCATGCTGGCATGCATCTCGGGGCATGACTCGCTAGCCTGGGAAAAGGGCCACAGGTTGGGGCCTGAAGCTTTGCAGATTCAGAATGTAGCTTCATCCCACCAAGAGTCATACCAGTCAGGGCCAGACTAAATCGTTCCAGCTCAGGAGCTATGAACAATAACGTTTGAGTCATGAGAAAGCTCATTGCTGAAGAAATGGAATATGAATGCTTTGGCTAGCACATTCTCTGGGCCACAGCTTACCTGGATAGTCCAATTAGAATACAGTGGCTCTGGAGCCAGCACAAAATGGATAGACTGAGCTCGGCTCTAACTGGTACATCCATCAACCCATAAGAAATGTGCTTGGCACAGGGACCAACAGACTGCATTCTCCAGCCAGGCACCTCCTTCCTGGGTCCCTGCATAGGTGCTGCCAACCCTTGTCTCAGTCCAATGCTAACCCTCCAACCATCCTGTTTGGATTAAAACACACCCCCTTTGATATGCCAATCAACCCCAGTTCTTAATCAGACAGGCAGTTTATGAGTCTCCCACCAGAGCTACTCAAAGACAGAGCTTCCTGGGCCCTGATCAAGTATACCTGGGGTGGAGCCTAGAAGTCAGCATCATTTCTACCTCCTGCACCCAGAGAACCAAGAGAGTAACCCAAGACTTGCTGGTAGGGTGCCACCTGGCTATGAAAGAGGAGTATAACTTTCTCCGTTCTCTTACATCCTCCTAGTTCCCATATTCAAGATTCTGGAGGTATGCTTGGTTCCCCACGTGCCCTGTGTGATGACAGGAACTCAGGCCAGCCCATATGAGCCTTCACCCAAAGTTCTCTGCCTGAAACTCAATTGCCCTTTGGCTCACAAATGAGGATGTGGGTCAGAAACGATTCACAGCCCTGAGACAGTAGAGGCAAGCATATAGCCTGTCCCAAAATGTCAGCCTCAGGACAGATTCAAAAATACTCAGAGAGACACTATCCCACATTCAGTCCAGGCATAGAAAAGTTCTGATAGTGGGTATTTAGTTATGTATTTACTAGACACTTAAGGGAAGAATTTTTATGAGCTTTCTCTTAATCCAGTTTTTCTTTTCTTTCTGGTCCAAACACCTCAAGATTAAAAGAATGAGTACAGGGATTTAACACACAGCCCCTGGTGCCAAGGGGTCTGCTGGAGCTTGGCTCTACCACCTACTTGCACCATGTGCTCTCCTCTCTGTGCCTCAGTTTTTATATCTGTATAATAGGGATACCCACTGGCATTCTAGAGCTGCTTGTGCTAGCTAATAAGAGACGATTATTAAATGTTTAGGAATTTTATGAACTGGCCATTAAAAACAGCTGCTATTAAAAATTAATTTATATAAACTTATAATTAAATAAACTATATATTTTTAAATAATTACTCAAAACCCATCACTTCCTAATTTTTGCTACATTAACAATTACCTATGCAGTTCAGTTTGTTTATGTCCATTGTACCTGTGTTACATGTGTGGTGGAGATACCATATAATAATATCTGCACATCTCTTTCCAACTCCAACTTATAGATGTCATGTTAGAGCCTGAAATTATCCATGGCAGAAGTATTTACACACAGAAACTGGCAAACACTATGAATTTAGTGCTTCTCAGTTCCCCGCCCCTGAAAAACCATTGCGAAACTTACCAGCACACCACCGAGAATATCTGCCACAGAGAGTTGTTCAAATGAAGTAAATTAATGATTCCCAAGGCTTAGAAGACTGTCTAGTCCTGTTTTACCAGTCTGTTATCATTGTCCCTATACTTAAGCCCAGAGTGAGTAAGCAGGGTGTCGAATTTGGGTTGGCAGCAATAGCTAACTCTCTTCGTTAATCACTTGGCAGAGAGAAGGAATCTAAGCTCTTTCTGTTTTTAAAAGTGACAAGAGCCACTGCAAATTACCCACTTTAAATTAAAGAATGGATTTTTGTTCTCCCCAGGTTAAAAAAAAAGTGACAAGAGACAGGCCATGAAAAGAGAGATGTGAAAAATTGCATATGATTAAAGATGCTAAATAGTGACAGCATAGTGAAGAAGTAGAGAAGACACAGACACGGAGCTGTGAGGACACTACCTTTCTCTTCCTGAAGGCTCCCTTGGTGCCAGGAACAGCTTCACAAACACGGCTGATGGCTTCCCTTAAGAGGACAGGAAGAGAGATTCATTTTATCATGTCAATCAGGATTAAATAACCCAAAGACCCTACAGGTGCATGTGCCGCAAGAGCCATGATTGCCTGTGTATTCTGGCATAGAAAATAGGCTTGCCAGCTAGGGAGTCACCCAATTTCTCCTCCAAGCAGAACACAAACAGGTCATCTTGACCTCTGACTTGCAGTACCCTAGTTCTTTCTGTGGTAGTTGCATACTCATGTGCACTATGTGTGTATCAACGCCACACATTGCTTTAGAACTAAAGCAATGTTTTGTTTTTATGTTTGGTTAAGATTCCATTTTAGAGAATTAGTACCCTGAAATGTACTCTGCACGTTCTGTTCAAGGTGATGGCTTCTCTTAATCAAGTCCTGCTATTGATCAAGAGCCTTCTGAACTGAATCAGAATGTAATTTTGAAAAATGTGGTCCTTCGAGTGTCATTCCCAGTGACAAGAAAAAAATTCTGAGATGTGCTAAATTAAATTTCGGCAGACACTAGGGTAGGATAAAGAGGTAAGAAGTTAATCAGTTAACAGCCTAGAGCCAAACCCAGCAAAAGACTGCCCACATTTCTGAATGTGTTTAAAACTGTATTTCAACCTTGGTGTCTATTTCAGCTCTTATCTAGAAAGAACAGCCAACCACCAGACTCTACCACATCCTGATTATGCTGGAACTTTCCAAATGTTGCCCACAACCAATTGAGAAGTTCTTTGCACTTGTCCTAGAATTACCCCCACTTCACCTTTTTCCACCCCCCTTTATCTGTAGTCAGTGTAAATTTTTTCAAAATATCTTTCATCTTTCTCTCCACACTCATTGTATAAAAGAGCCCGTGAATCCCAGGATGGCAGATGTGCTCATCATTCACTCTGCTGCTGGTGGCTCAGACTGCATGCCCCAGGACATGATCCTTTTTATGGCTAGAAAAGAGATCAGTAAACACTCTATTTTAGGAAAATTTTGTCCTCAAAGGCTTTTGTTTAATGACAGTTTCTATAGTCAGTAAATATCATAAAGTCAAAATGGTTTTAAAACAGAACTCAGGGAGTATACAAATGAGCCAGACATGAGATTGTATGTGGGTCAGCCCTATGAAGCAGGCATTTATTGAGCAGCTACAGTGTGCTGATCACAGTCCTGAAGAAGGTAATGCATGTCTGAGGTATTGAGGGGCCTTGCAGGAGGAGAGGCTGCAGAAGGTCTGACCCAGGTCTATACAGGACAGAAGAACACAGAAGCACAGAGGAAAGAACACAGAAGCACACTGTAGTCTCATGCCGAAGACTGGGGCCTACAGTGAGGAGGATGTGGCCAGAGTAGCCACTTGAGAACAAATAGAACTCAACTTTGTGACTCAGCCTCAGTGATAAATGATGGGAGATCTACTAAAGGTGGTTCCAAAGTCAGCGACCCAGAAAGAGGCCAAGTGAACCTCTCAACTCTCACGTGGGGAAGGACAAAACAGTAAAAGAACACAGAAAAAATAAGCAAGCAGTAGTTTGGGGACACACTGAGTGATAAAGAATATAATGGGTCCTTAGGAACATTCCACATGCTTTCTCAGCTACAACCGTCTTGAAATTATTTTCTATTATCTAGAAAAATAATTACCATCACAATACATTTCTTTTAAGAGAAATCTGACCTTGTTAAATAAGGTAAGAGACCATAAAGATAAGCTTCACATTTACCATTTAATTCATTGTAGGGAGTGGGGAAAGATATACTATTATAAAAGTCAAGGTACCATGAAAACTGTAGACTATGAATCAGCAATGACCCAGAATAAAAGTTTGTACTCAGTCATTTATTTTATAATATTCCTACTATGGTTCTATCCAAATGATCATTTAAAGTACTTCCTAAAAGTAAATTTCTTATTGAAGGTTAAGTTTTCTCTCTTAACTATATAAACTCCAGTATCTATGTTTTATGTTTAATTTTTTTAAGTTTGATGTATCTCTATACTATACTTGGTATATTAAGTGACATATTTAGCTAAACAAAGCAGCTAATTCTCTGATGGTCCTAGCAGGCAAGAAAAACATTTTATGGTAGAAAGCCTACCATATTTCATTTATTTTTCAAAAGATTTTATTTATTTATTTTTAGAGAGAGGGCACAGGAAAGAGAAACAGAGGGTGAGAAACATCAATCTGTGGTTGCCTTTGGTGCTTCCCCTACTGGGTACCTGGCCCACAACCCAGGCATGTGCCCTGGCTGGGAATCAAACAAGCAACCCTTTGCTTCACAGGCCAGCACTCAATCCACAGAGCCACGCAAGCCAGAGCACATATGTCATTTCTTAAATATGCATAATAGACATTAGATTTCCTTTTTTTATCCTCAGCCATGGAAGATAAGAGTCTTGGATGACAGTTTTACATAAAGAAATGTTAAATGTCTAATATATGATATAGGTTAAATACCGTCCAAGGTGTAATCTAGTCAGCACAGAATTTGGGCAGCAGGCTTGCTGCTAATGTGCATGGGACAGGGTGGTAGAAACAACAAATGAGCATTAAGAATAGAAGTGTGGCCCTAGCTGGTGTGGTTCAGTGGATTGAGCACCAGCCTGTAAACCAAAGGGTCACCAGTTTGATTCCCAGTCAGGGCACCTGCCTGGTCCAGGTCCCTGGTTGGGGGTGTGTGAGAGGCAACCACACATTGATGTTTCTCCCCTTCTCTTTCTCCATCCTTTCCCCATCTCTCTAAAAATAAATAAATGAAATCTTTTTTTAAAAAATAGGTGTGTGGAGTATACACTGCAAATAATAAACACATTCTGTCAAACAAATCCTTTCACAGAGAGGCATGAAAGCATGTTAGGGCAGAGTAAGAGACTCAATTTTTTGTCCTCAAAATGTGCAAACATAAGAAATTCAGAAAGTTCTCAGAGCTCACGGACTCAGGACAGTCCTGACGATCCCCTTGTGAGCCAGCCTTTAGAATCCCCAAAGAGGTTTGCAAATCAAACTGCTTTTCAGAAAAATGCTCTCCATTCTCATTGGCATAAACTTGTGCCTAATGCTCATGTGATAGTATGTGTGTGTGATTTTCATTTTAATCAGACTTACGGTGTCTATTTTTGTTTTAAAAAGAAATGTGATATGCCTGTTAATAAATGAATGAAATCAGTAACTTTAACTCCAAAGTCTAATTTTAAATTTAACAATTCTGATTGTCATTCCCTACTGTTTAGTACCCTGAATTTTGGTGAGCAGTACAGTTTCAGTTTGTTCATTTAGCAGTAATTATGTAGCTTTGTGTAATTCTTTTTAATCCCAGTGTGAGTCCCAGGTAACAATTTTGCTCTATTTTTAATAACAGAGATTGCTTCTTAACATTCTGTTCAATGCAACCCTATTTCCATAAGCCAAACCATGACCTCAGAGCTCAGTTAATAGGAAAATAAAGTATCTGGCACACTCACAGTTATCTGAAAGTTAGTCCAAATGCTGATCCCCATTTTTTCATGATTTCACCATCTTCCCCTATTGAGCTAAAACTGTCATCACTAGAGCCAGTACCATTCACCTTTCATAACTTTTTTATTGAATGTAGAACTTTTGAACTGAAACCTTTCAAATCATGTGGCAGAATATTTCTCCCTAGTTGTCCATCTCATTTTTGCTAACCTGATGTACACACACATACACATACACACACACATTCTTTACGGACTCAATTTTTTAAAAAGGACATTTGGGTGATTTCCTTCACTCAGCAGATTAGATTTAGTAGGGGAGGGGCAACAAACAAAACACATACAAGAGCAAATTGCCATCAACTTCATGAACGAACAAAAAGGAGAGACACATGTTGTGAAGAGGATAAGAACATGGCATCCGAAAATAGGATTCTCTGGCATCAGGATTATTTTGAGTTAAAAGCAACCAAGAAGAAGCAGATTCAAGAAAAGGTCTGTGTTCTCCTCTATTTGCTTAAAAGCAGAAGATAAATTTGTAAAGACATGTCCCTCCACTTTCTACCAGGAAGCTCTACCAGGGGTGTCCAATCTGCGGTCCACAGGTCACATGTAGCCCAGGATGGCTGTGAACGCAGCCCTCCACAAAACTGTAAATATATTTAAAACATTATGAGATTTTTGTGTGACTACATGTTGCAATATAGTTAATGTGTAGCCCAAGACAACTCTTCTTCTAGCGCAGCCCAGAGGCAGCAAAGGGTTGGACAACCCAACTCTGATCAGCCCAGTGTCACAGCAGAGGAACCTGCATGACAAACCTTGCTACTGGCCCACATCTTCTATCAGTTCCCACATGCATGTACCTTCCCACAATCTGCTGTCCCAGACTCTCAAAGTCCTTTCCTTTGTCTTGTCACTTCTGTACAGATTTACTGCTCTTTGGTTAATATGGTATATAAGCCTAAGTTCTAAACACTTTTTTAGTTACTTATCACTGAGTTTTTATGTCTGTATGTACAGGCATTAATCAACTGACTGTTTTTCTTTTGTTAATATCTTTTGTCTGATTTGCAGGGTCTAAGCCAGAAAACACAGGAGGGCAAAGCAAAAATGCTTTTCCTCCCTTACAGTAATAAATGAGGTAACACATGTCAGGAAGGGGAAAGAGTTACCCAGCGAAGGAAATTTGAGTGACTGGGCAGTGATCCAAGGAAAAGTAAGTGGCATACCTATCTCCTTCCTTATATAGAAATAAATGCTAGATAGATCACAAATTTAATTTATTTGTAATAAAACTGTAAAAGTAGTAAAAAGTACAGGACTTTTTTTAAGTCTTTGAATGAAAGGATAATACAAAATTCAGAAACAATAAAAGAATATATTGACACATTTATTAGCATAAAAATAAAATTTTATGCATAAGAAAAAATAGTATTTCATAGAGATAAATGTTTTGATATGTCAGTAAAAACATCAAAAACCCAGCTGAAAATAGGTGAATGATAATGAACAAAGAGTTCACAGAAAATACAAATAGTTCTTTAAAATGT